GGGTTCATCCTGAGCAGAGTCTTCAGCTGTAGCCCCTCCTTATTCTGTGTTCCCAGTGGACTCTTTTTCACTTTGACCATTCAATGCTTAAGTCATTCATTCAATTATTGCCAAGGACCTAATGTGTGTTTGACTTTGTGCTAAGGATATAAGGATGGATACTGACTTCATGGAGTTCACAGGCTAGCTAGAGAGAGGCACACTTACAATACATTGCACAGTATACCACAGTGCTTCAGAGTAACCTTGGCCCAGATGTGGTTTGAATCTGGAATCTGCCACTATTAACAGGAGATGATGGCAAGTTATTTAACCTTTCTGGGCTTCAATTTCCTCATCTAGATAATGGAATAACTCTAGATAATGGGTAATACCTCCTTCACAGGGTTGTTATGAGCAATAACTATGATAACTGTTACAAAGCACTTAGTTCAGTGCCTGGTACATGGTAAGCATTAAAGAAAGGTGTGAGTTTTTAATTGATGTTCCATCCTGTGGTTGTCAAGAATAAGGGGCCTGGATTTAATTCAGTCTCGGCCACTAATTAACTGAATGACTTTAGCCAAGTCATTTCTCCTCTTAAACTCTTTCCCATCTGTAAAACAGTAGCAGTAATTAATCACCACTACCACTACCATCATTGTTACCACTACCACCACCACTATCATCTTCATCTTGAATGGCTCAGGGAGTCAAGTCCCAACTAGACCTAGAATTGAGGACAGAGGTATGTTTAGTGGTGGTGGTTGTGTGGGATATATAACCTTGACTCTTCTGGGCCACAGGAATCTGTTCAACTAGTTCTCTTGTATGATTTGTCAGGAAGGAAGACCACATAGACTTAAGGCAGACTTTCTGAGAATAGACTAGAAGTCAAGTTGCTGGGAACCCAAGGACCTGAGTAAACATTTGTATGAAATCTGACTTCACTGTTTCCACAAACTTAACCAAAGTGCTGGGGAAATTGTCAGCTCACATTTCATTACAGGGCTGGTTGCTGAGTGGAGGGCATGTTGATTTAAGCTGCTTTCATTAAATTCTGTTCTCAGTGCCAAATAGCAAGACACTCATCTCAGTGAAGAGACAGGCCTCCCTCCTAGGAGGTGGCGGATAGTGGGGGCACATCTTTGCCAACCCAACAACCCAGAGTCAATGCTGATGGTGTAAGGATCACTTAGGTTGCATCTGTTGGTCCACAGTGCCCAATGGTAAAGCTCTGGGCAATGTCTGTGCCAGCTCTGCCATGCCAAGCAGCAAATAACAACAACAACAACAAAAATGATAATAGAGCTACCATTTGCTAAGTGTTTAAGTGTGCCAGATACTGTGCTACCATCTTGCCTGTATTTTCTCATTTAACCCTCACAATAATCCCATAATGCAATTTTACATAAGAGAAAAATGAAGTTTAGAGAGGCTAAGTGACTTGCTGAAGTCATTCAACTAGTGGGAGCACGTATTCCTAAATAAAACCCAGTGCTTGTTCTACAACCCTGTAGCTGTAACTCCCTGAGCATCGAAATAGTCTCTTAGCTATAGTGGGATTCAGTCAACAAGGCACCTCTTATCTTTACCATGAAATCTCAATACGTATAAACTAACTTTCACTCAGGGAAAGTGCCTGTGGAAGGGAGGTGGTAGAAACACATAAAGTGCTTACTCTAAGAAAGGCACTATTCTAAGGGCGTACATAAATTAAATAATCTAATGATCACAGAACTCTCTGCTATATACTATTCTTATCCCCATTTCTCACATAAGGAAACTGAAGTCAAGAAAGTTAAGTACCTTGCCAAGGTCACACAGCACGTGGTGGAACCAGGATTGAACCCAGGCAGGTACTGCCTATACAGTAGGGGATGAAGAGAGAGAGCAGCTAATGTGTTTTCATTACCTTTAAAAATGGCTTCCAGAGGGAAACTGACATCTGGGGAGAAACAGTGAACTCTGGGGAGGCAGCACAGAATGATGGGTAGCAGGGTAGACATGGAGTCTTAGGCTGGGGTTAGACTCCCAGCTTCATCACTCACCAGCATGCCTTAGACAAGTCACTGCAACTCCCTGAGCCTCACAGTGAGCTCTCATAGGATAATATCATACCTGTCATCCCTTCCTCACAGGGCTGATGTTGTGTGTGTGTGGGTTCTCTGTGTGTGTCTGTGTGTGTTTCTGTGTGATATATTTGTGTATGCTACGAGGTAGTTCCTAAATGCAAACTGTCAATTCCATTGCAAGGAGAGTCAATGATCTCTTTGTTAATATTAGAGGCTTTCATCAATGGGTGTTTTAACCATTATTGTAACAATAATCAACACCTATTGAGCCCTTATCATGAGGCAAGTAGAATGGTTAAGTGCTCTTTGGCATTATCTTAACCTTTTCATGACTACATTAGTTTCTACTTTGATTTTTTGTTGTTGTTGTTGCTACTGTGTGTTTTCAGTAATGGAAGGCATGCTGAAATTAAAAAAAAAATTTCTTTGAGGTAATATGGATTTTGATACAATTATGTGGGACACATATATCCCAAGGGAACTCTGGTGGTAGGATTGGTGAGGTAAGAGCTGTTTCATAAGATTCATGCAATTAAACAGGTCCCCACTAGGCAGCAGCACGCACTACAACTGGGATTGGAGCTTCCAAAGAAACCTGAGAGGCTGAAAATGTTGGTGGGCAACATATGTCCCAAAAGTTACAAAAGGATTAAATTGTTATTGCTGGGTGCTGCTGAGTTTATTTCAATTCACAGTTACCCCATGAGACAGAATAGAAAACTCTAGAACATAAAGTTTTCTTGGCTATAATCTTTACAGAAGTAGATTGCCAGCTCTTTCTCCCACAGAGCTGCTGAGTGGGTTTAAACTATCAACCTTTAGTTTTCAGTCAAGCACTTAACTGTTGTACCACCAGGGCTCCTTATTTAATACTCATAAAACCTCCATCAGGTAAGTGCTATTGTTGTCCTCATTTTATAGCTGAGGGAGCTGAAGGAACTTGCCCAAAGTTATAACTAGTAATTAGCAGGGCAAACATATGAACCTAGGTCTGTCTGATTCAGGAACTCATTTCACTATAAAGTGCTAATTTGTCTTCACACTTTACCCCATACACTTTTCATACCAATTATGAGGAGTGGTATATACAGAATTGCATAGGGCTAGATCTCACAATTCTATCCAAAGTCCCTTCCAATTGGTCTAGAGTCTTTTATAGGGCCAACTAAAGAATACTTAGTAATCTCACCCAACGTCCTACCTGCCTTCCTTAGAGGCTGTGGAATTTCATCAGGGATTAACAATGCAAAGGACAACTATATATCTATCATAAATTACCTTTGTGGCCAAATAATGAACAATACAAGGCAGCATAGCTTTAAGAGGGCCATTTATTATACTGCCATAAACAGAGCTATATAAAAAGAATTATTCTTGAGACCTTGAACATCTGTGCTTGCAATCATGTCTTTACATGAGCTTTGCAAACAAGGATAAAGTTCAAGTGAGGCTGTGTATTGAACATCAATTCTCCTTTCAATGAGGAAAGGTAATTCAAAGTATTCCAAAGGCGTAAATGCTACATGGATCTCAGTTTTGCTAAAGGACTCAACCATCTTTCTTGATCACAACTAGAATTGTTAATATATAATATAATTAATTTGAGTTTCACTTTTTTTCAAACACTATGGAATGGTAAGAAAGAGATTTGAAGATGAAAAAAAATGTGGTTGGAGATGTTAACACTTTGTGGCTGTATGTCTTTGGGCAAGATTACATAAACCATTTCTGAGTCTGACTTTCTTTATTGGTTTATTTATCCTCATTTCTTTGTTTTTTGTCTTCTCCCCCCTAACAAGAATGCAAGCTCTACAAAGGTAGGGACTATCTTGTTTATTTCTTTATCCCTCATGATTGGAAGAGTGCCTAGTACACTGTAGGTGTTCAATAAGGATTCATTGTTTAAAGTATTAATAAATTGGTAAAACAGGGATGATGATACCTTTGTGAGCATAACTTATTATATGCCAATACCATGCTTGGTTTCCACATATGTTGTCATGTAATCCTCACTTTGAGAGGGTATATAAACCATAAAGTACTTACAAACAGAAAGGTACCAACATAACTGTCCTTTGAACACTGAATGTTTAAATCCAATGGTGAACCAAATGTACCAACGAAGAACACAATGAATCAAATGTCCATTAGTCCATTCATCAAGAGTCAGGCCTATGTTGTGTCTTGGGGATGAAGACATGAATGAGACATGTGTAAGCTTGTTCATGGAGCTTACAGTCTAGTAGAGGATCTGCCCAAAGAGGTAGGTGGGGGCCAAAGCACAGGGAACCCTAAATACTATACTGAGTTTAGACTTCATTCTGAGGAGATGGGTGAAACCAAAAGGTTAGGTGGCTCGGGCATGCATCCTTTAAAGACTTATATCTTGCAGACCACACCTAGAAACACTGTTACTTATAAACCTTGTTTCTAGGGATCATCATCTTAATGTAACAGATGAATTTTTTTAGAAATACACCTATAACTACAATTAACATTGTTAAGCAGCAGGGAGCTCTGTTGGGGTAGTGCCTAAGGCATTTGACTGCTAACTAGAAGGCTGGTGGCTCAAACCCACCAGCCACTCCTCGGAAGGAAAGTTGGGCAATCTACTTCTGTAGTGATAGTGCCTCGGAAACCCAAGGAGGGGTCACTATGAGTCAGATCTGACTTGACAGCAATGCATTAAGCAGCAATAGCTCCGGGCCACCACTATGAAATGAAAGGTGTAGGGACCTAATTTCTTAATCCCCTGCCCATCTAAGTGTAGAAGTACTGAAGGCTAAGTGTTTCTGGCAAGAAGAAATGCATTCAGAGGCATGGGTAGACCTAATCCTGTCACTGAGAACAGGATTGTATCACTGCTCAGTCTGAGTGGTTAACACAATATTAATGCATTACCTCCCCACTTTATCCATGCTGTACCCTTCTGGTCCCCACATTTACCAATAGAGCAATCATGTCCAGTCCAGCTTGGGTCACAGCTGCAAAGCCCAGTGTCTGGGAGGAAGGTTCCATGGCCTGAGCACTGGTCCAAGCACGTGGCCCTTGGTGTCTCACAGTTGGTGCCTCCCCATCCGACAGAGCAGTGGCACTCTCCTCTCACGCAGACACCCCGGCCTGAGCATGTGGGGTCCATGCAGTCCACTGGGCAGCAGAGGAAGAAAAGAGAGGTCAGCATCAGAACAGCAAGGGTGATGCTTCTTTAGGCAGACAACTTTTAGTGAAGAGACTTCCCACTTTCTGGTAGAAGGATACCGACCTTCCTGTGGAGAGGCTGCGCACTATAGTGCAGGGAGCAATAACTTTGGCAAATGAAAGACGTGGGTTCTCAGCTCTCTCCAGTGACTGGCTTTGATTGAGTCATTATAATCTTTGAGTCCCTGATCCTTTGTCTGTAAAATACGGTAAATGATCCTGTCTCATAGGGTCATGGGGTGGACAAAATAAGAAATGTACATTAAGCATCACCACCGTGCTTAGCACCTCTTACGTCTGTAATAACTGCAACCTTTTTGCTGTTGTTCACTTATGTTTCTCCATCTTCTAGAACAGTACGTGGTACATAGGAGGTACTCGATAAGTATCTGGAGAACAAACTATTATTATTTGCCATTGCCTAATAACACTTTGATTTATACGAGCATGGGAATAAATATAAAGATTCCTTGCTTTAAATGAGAATTTTTTTTTTTTTT